TTATTTTATAGGTAATACATTAAGAAAGTTGCAACAAAATAAAGAAGCCATTGAATGTTATAATGAAGCAATATCTATTAGCCCGAAATATGCTTAAGCATGGAATTGGAAGGGTAAAAACTTTGTTTAATTCTAATAATTAGGCATTGCATTAGACAAATTGAATCAATATAAAGAAGCAATTGAATGTTATAATGAAGCAATATCTATTAACCCGAAATATGCTTAAGCATGGAATTGGAAGGGTAACTAATTGTTAAATATTAATTTATAGGGAATGCATTAAGAAATTTAAAATAATATCAAAAAGCAATTGAATGTTACAATGAAGCAATATCTATCAACCCTAAATCTGATATATTTTGGAATAATAAGGGTAACTAATTCTTAAATATTAATATACAGGCAGTGCATTATGTAAATTGAAAAAATTTTTGGAAGCAGTTGAATGTTACAACGAAGCAATAGCTATTAACCCTAAATCTGATAAGTTTTGGAATAATAAGGGTATTAATTGCTAAACACTAGTATAGGTGATGCCTTATATGAATTGAAATAATTTTAGGAAGTAATTGAATGTTACAACGAAGCAATAGCTATTAACCCTAAATCAGATACTTTTTGGAATAATAAGGGTATCTAATTCTTAATTATTAATTAATAGGGAATGCATTACATGAATTGAAATAATTTTAGGAAGCAATTGAATGTTACAACGAAGCAATAGCTATTAACCCTAAATCTGATACTTTTTGGAATAATAAGGGTATCTAATTCTTAATTTAATAGGGAATGCATTATATGAATTGAAATAATTTTTGAAAGCAGTTGAATGTTGCAACGAAGCAATAGCTATTAACCCTAAATCTGATACTTTTTGGAATAATAAGGGTTATTTATTGTCAAAATATTAAATATAGGTTATGCATTACATCAATTGAAACAATACTAAGAAGCAATTGAATGTTATAATGAAGCAATATCTATTAACCCTAAATCTGATTGGGCTTTTGAACAAAAAGGTATTGATATTTTTTATTCAGGTTTAATCCTACAAAAATTAAAGTAAAACATGGATGCACTTCAAAATTTTGAACGAGCGCTTAAAATAAATCCTACTGCTCATAGATTAGAATATAAAGGTAAAAACAACTTTAAATTATATTAGCTGATTCATTATTTGAATTGCGTAGAAGTTCGGAAGCTAAATACTTTTATTTATCTGCTTGGGGACAGCATGCTTTAATAGAATGGTAACTATCAAAGTTATGAAACATTATCATATTCATATATTGAAGGATTTAATAAAAATTTTGTCAGTATATATTTACAAAAAGAAAAGTGATTTACTTAAATTAATCACTTCTAGTGTTATACTCTATAACTTTAAGGATATAAACTTAATAGCCCCTAACAAGGAGTGATATTGATCTTGTTCTTACGCAATTAAGAATTCTTGTAGTCGTTTTGAAAGCTAAATTTTA